TTTTCAGAATTCTTCTGATTTGGTGTCTATCCAGAAGTAAAACCCGCTGAAGATACAAAAAAACCATCAACCTAAAAGAGCCAAGGAATTTAGACAAAATTGAATCTTTTCACATCCCTTTTTTAAAGTTCTCATTGGATATTGCTTAATAAATATATCACACCTTTTTGAAGGAAATGCTGATCTGTGGCTGACTCATTAGCTCACTATTGCATTCCGCCCTTCAATTTCATGAAGGCCTCTTAATACATTTCAGCAAGAACTAAACTACTTTCCTAATAACATTTAGGACTCTATTCCTAAGTAATCTTAAGCAACATGAAAGTAATTGATGTCTCCAGAGCTTGCAATATTTATAACTCTATTGCTAAATTTAGATATTATATACAAGGTTATATTATAATTTGGTTTATTTACAAGAATGAACGAAGAGTACTTTAAATTGAACACAACTATAGAACTATATGACAAGTTTAGCATTTTTTGGGGACAGTGTTTATTTGGGGGGGTTTTACTTTTCTCAATCAMTCAAAATGGACTATTTCACAGGCTTAGTCACTAGTCCAGGCTATTAAGCAATATAGTGGGCTTGTGCAACATGGTGAAAAGTATGACTGAGTGCCTTACTGAACGAGAAATACAGGTAACCAGGGGCAAGATATGGAGAGACAATCCTTGGTATTCTTCTGCACTGGGCAAATGCCTTGACATTTAACAGTGTGTGTATTGTTGTACAGTGACAAAGTGGAGGAATTCAACAAGCAATTTTCTTTTCCTCATTCTGAAAGCTCTGTCTTTCCTCAAGTTTCTCAAAAGAATCTAGGAAGAAAAATCTGATTCTTTACTTATCAACTTCATTTTAGGAAAAAGCACAGCATCACCAAAACATACATTTTAGTTACTGTGTAAATACCTGCTAAAAACAGAGGAAAAATTAAAAATCAGCCTCTGAAAGGAGTGTGCTACTTCTAAAGCTCCTGCCATAGCCACCACCTTTGCACACCAGGTCTCCTACAACCACTGCAGCAGTGAAAAAGACCACCAGGGTAAGAAAGCAAAATGTCCACTCTCAAAAATTTAGCTGAGTCCCAGTACCCCAGCTGCCTCCTCTCATTCCAATGGACAGGTTTTTTTCCAGGGGTTTGAGGACAGAAGTGTCTTCGTCAACCATTCTCTTTAGGGAGCACATATGGCTGGCAATTGTTCCTACCCTCTGAACTTAGGGAAAAACAATGTTTTCTGAGTTCTTGTGGGAGGGCTGTTGAAAACAAGAGGTACAAAGACATGTGTAGCTCCCTCTTACAAGTTCCCGGATCCAGCAACTTTTTGCTTGAATTGGAAATTGCCAACTTTTATTGTGAGATAATAATATTAGGCCTGCAGATCAGAAAATAACAAGAAATAAAAGCATATTGTCCCCTGTCCTTTCTTGTCCCTTTCTGGTTTGCAGTGAGGTCAGTGCCTTCTTGCTTCCCTTTACCTATCCACCCACAGTGAGGATTAAATCCACCCTGAAGGCACACAGGACAAACAAATAAGCAAAGAATTAGAGAAATATAGAAGTTAATCATACATAAAGAAACTCTTTTTATCTGCAAAGCAAGCTGTATCAGGATCAGATTTTTCTTTAACTAAGCTTCATTAGAGTCCCACCAAAACACTACTGAAAGCCCTCATCAAAATCCCAGAAATTAAAGCAGGAGAAAACTGTTCCAAATACAACATACTAAAAAACAATCCCTTGTTTTAATTGCACAACTCCAAATCATGGCCTACAAAGCTCTGCAGAATTCAAGCCAAGCCCATCSCCAGCCAAACAGGTCTAACTAAAAGAAAGTAGTTGTTCAGACAGATCCTACCTTCTTTTACCAGTTAAACCAACTTTTGCAGGAGAGAGTGGAGAGTGCTGCTTGTCTCCGTGTTCTTTACTCCATTGATTGTTGTGTAAATATTAGGCTTCCTGCTCATGGAGAAACTACTGCAAAGTTTCTTTCAGTTCTGTTTGCACATTTCAAACTTGTGCATGTTTTAGAACAAGGAAGTTTATGTAATGTTCCTGACAAAGTGCAGTACATCATGGCTCATTTTAATTCAGGTATGAATACCTGACACAGATGAATTCACAAAACACTCCTTTCATCTGAAATTTAAGTAGTAACCCTTTTTCCCCTGAAGGTTTAAGCAGCTTTAAGTGATGAAATGATTATATTTTCCTGTTTCTTTAAAGCAGTACTGGATTGAAACAGCTTTGGATGAATCTTTCCTGAATTTATTCAAATAYGAATACACCATGAACCATAAGGATATTTGAATAAGTCATTCCAAAAGATGTCAAATGTTCTCTACAGCCATAGAATATAATTTTAAACTTTCCTCAAAGCATTTTAGTATTACAGCACATAAAAGCATCTTCTCCCCAAAGGCCAAATTTTCAAGTACTGAACAAACCCAAATATTTGTTTGCAAAATCAAGAAATCTGTATATGTATCAGGGATATTCATCTATCTGAATGCACAATTTTTTTGCATGCTGTTCATTATCAGTGCTGCGTTACTGTAATTCTTGCTTACCTGTAAAGCCAGTTTCATCTTTCCTTTTTAAATTACTGTGTGTAGGAGATATCATTGGGAAAGTGATGACAGATTACTCCTGTACTTATGGATTATCCTTTACCCAGATACCTCCCACAAGTTCAGAGTCCTGTTCAAACACCCCCTCCCCAGGACACTTTCTGACCCTCATTGCTGCCTCCTGTCCCTGTGACTCAGTGATTCAGAAAGCAGGGTCAAGATAGTCACTACCACCAGCATGGGTCAGAGAGTTTTCCACATCTGCCAGCATTTGTATTGCTCAGCTTTTGCCAAAATTCATATCATATTTGGTGCGCAAGTTTCCAAGTTTTATTGGGTTTTCCTTCTCAACAGATTCTCTCAGTGTAACAGAGCTGCATGCTCTGCATAAAGCTGTTTTGATGGGTTAAAACTGGGATTTTTTTGGTTAGTTGAGTTTGGTTGGTTTGAGGGTTTTTTGTTCATTGGGGTTTTCATTTTATTTGTGTTTGTATTTTAAAACCTTCTGAACAGACAGAATTTTCTCTTTTGCTTTCATCCCAATCCAACTGTCCCCAAAGGCCTGACACCAATCTTTGGACTCTCACTTCCCTCTCAGAGAGAAGCTGCAAGCCAAAGCTGCATTCAGACAATGCCTGGCCAGCACGGACTGCCCATTGCCTATGCCTTGTCTCCCAGGAGACAGGAGCAGGACCAGGTTTTTGGGCTGTCTGCACTGCCCTCAGAGTGGCCCATTCTGTGGGCTCTCAGAGGAGCCAGGCTGGGAAGACAAAGATAAACGTGAATCCAGACATTACCATGATAATCGTAGCACAGAAAAACTGTGTCTAGAGATGTTTAACAAAGCGTCTTAGGCTGCATGGAAGATGTGGATTGCTCCGATTTCAGATGGAATTAACCCGTTTCTAAATAGAGATAGCTGGAATCAAGTTCATGAACAACATGAACAACCAAATCACCGGATTTCTCTCAGGCTTCTCTGTTAAGCCCTCTACAACATCTTTTTCTGTGCCACACAGCAGATAACTATTGTGACTGTWTCTGAGCACACAAAATGACAGAGAAGCAAAGGTCTAGAAAAATCAGAAAGCAATTTCCTACAGCAAAGAATCCAGCACTCGAGGTACAAAACTATGAAACAACGGAACAAAAGGTAGAAACAATGTCACAGATACATATATGGAGAGAAAAAGGACAAGRGATGAATGCTTATGAAGCAGCTGTATTAACAGTCCTGAAGCACATACAAACACATAACATAATTTGTGAAATCTCATCAATTCAACCACACTAAGCTAAATTCTTCACTAATGCTAAATTCTGCCTTATAAAAACACTTCTCCAGAACATTCTTGTCTTTAGAAAGTTAAAAAAAGTGACCAAAAATTATGGTCAATAATCACATGTCAGTTTTACTAAAAAAAAAATAAATGTTAGTTTAAAAAGCAATGGGATCCTCTGAAATGTAATTTATGTCATACCAAGGATGATCACACTTACACAGAACAAAAAGTAATTTAAACATTCAAATCCCAGAAAATGAGCATTCTATAATGATTTCTTTGAAAAGCTGAAAAAAATACCARTGACATTCCTCCATTTAATGTTGCCTTGTATGAAAAAAGAAAAAAAGTGTTTTCTACAAGCTTATCAYCTAACTATGACCACGACTTTGAGGACACAAGGAGAGCATTTGTTTTTGACCTAACAAGGCATCCTGAGAGTAATTTTTTTGATGCATCATGCACATTTTAACACTACAGCTAAGCAATACTGTATAATCTGCAACACATTAACAATTCAGAAACTCAGTAATTTCAAGCTGTTCTTTAAAATACACATGAACGCATATCCTATTCCCAATGCCACTACTATCAGTGCTTATTAAAATTATCATAYAAATAATATTAGTCAAGAGGTTCTAGCAGCATAATTATACAAGAGAATTAAAGACACACAATAATCAAGCATTAATTTTTTTTTACATTGAACCRTCAGCAGGCTCACAAATAAGAAACATTTTTATTCATATTTAAGAAATGCATTCTTCTAACAGACTTACTAACAAGAATTTTCATTTAGAGCCTTCCTTCAGCAAATGTCACAATTACCATCTAAACAGGTGAAAAAAAAAAGTTCAAATACTGATTTTGGCATTTGTATTTTTTTGACGCAGTTTACCCAAAAATAAAAAAGTATCTAGAAAAAWATAGGTCACAGTCACTCACAGTGCTAAGATTTCCAAATTTGACTGTTCTGTTCCTAAACTGCAGCAAATGAGTACAGCTTTCACTAATGGATTGCTATTAAAAATAAATCAGCTAAACAGTGCCTGTATTTCTCCTTCCATACAGCTGTAGCAAGCATACACTGTTCTATTATGCAGCTGCTTGAAAGGCAGATTTCAGCCTCCACATGGAATTACTTACCCAGAAGCATGTTTCTCTTCTACAGTTAGTTCAGCAGAATAGAGAGTTCTGCACAATAGATCTAGCAAAAGAAATGTTCTAACAAGCCCCTTTTTGACTTGGTGCAAGCCTGGAGAAGGGTTTGAACTTGTGCTGCTGAGAAATATGTCTTGCCCCACAAAGCTGCTGGGACACCTCACTTCACTCCCATTGGTGAATGACACCTCTTCAGGCTATGCACAAGTGATGCAGACAGGCGGCAGCTGGTGCCACCTTCATCTGAGGGAACAAAACCATAAAAAAAAAAAAAAAAAAAGGAGAAAGTAGCCACTTCTCTAAAAGGTTTAAAGTTAATATATTTTTATGTATCTGTCCTGCGACTGGTTTTAAACTGATTGCCTATCTTTCACCAAGAGAAAAACTCCTTACAGAACTAATACAGTGTATTAAAGAAAATCTAAATGGCAGGCAAGTTTTGCAAAAATAAATGTCCCAGCTTTCCATAATGCTGAWTTTCATTTAAGCTGGATTCATCTGCTCAGACACAAAAGACTTCCTTTAAAGAAATACAAACAAGGAGCTGGTTTGGGACTTTTAATTTAGCTCAAAAGTCACCGACAAGACTGAACTGGACAAGCAATAAAAACATTCAGAATGTTGTTGCTACCACGGCAAGCACCTACTGTCCAGTAAAACTGACCACAAACTATTTGCACAAATCTAAAATTAACCATTGCTACGAAGAGAAAAAAATACCCCTCTTACAGAGTCAAAAGGCACATAATGTCAAAGCTGGGACTCAAATCATACACTTCAAACAAAGAGGAGCTTCTCTAACCTCCAGTCCCTTGCTTTGGTATGTGCTGTGTCAGTACACCTCATCTGGTGTCTGCACAGGACTTCTGACTCCTCAAAAGAATTTTTCCAAGCACATCCTAGTAAAGATACTTGAGTTTTATTAAAAATAAAAKTAAATAAAATTTGAAAAGAAAGAAGACATCTAGAATCATTAGGAACAGATTTTTACCTGATGCACCTCGCAGTTATGTCAGATAATTCCTCACAGAGAACTAAAGATTACACAAGATATCTTGTATATAATCCTTCCCCTTTAGTGCTTTGTGTTAAACATAAAGACACAAATCTTAATCTTCTCATTTGTTTTTTACAAAAGTGAAGGAATGAGGAGAGAGATAAAAGATGACTTTAAAATGCAAACTTCTTGGAATTTCCACGTCTCTAGAAATATTAGACAGAATTTCTGTGACAAGATTAAATTTATACCCAGTCCTGAATAAAGTGTATTGTTTCAGTGACAACACTCTTCTCCACTATGTGACTGTTGGTTACTGAAAAGAACACAYACAAAATTTTAGCTTAATCCTATTTTATTCTACAACCTCCTACTCCTCCCTTACACTGAAGGGGGATTACTTTGATAATTACCTGCCAATATGAGTTGGCAGCAATTACATAATTTTGTTACATGTCCTAAAATATTTGGTACTCTTGTTACAAGTCCCTTTCTCTCTTTTTTTTTTTTTTTTTTTTTTTTGAAGGGTTGTGAGATTGCTAGCAGTGAAAAAGATGAATCCGCTTTGACATAAAAAGGCAAATAAAAATCAAACCAAATTAAAAATAAACCTTTCTGATTTTTAAGCAAATCTTGGAAGATGTGACTCATTCTCATTGCACACTTGGGATTGGCAACACCAAACTTCTGTGAAATTTTATGTGGGTTTTACATAGACTCTGATGACTTCACAAGATGACCAGTATTCTCAATAAATACTCTGTTCTCTCATGCTGATAATAATATTAATAACTGCATTTTCTGCGATGACTGACGCTTTTTTTTTCAATTTCACTGTTAACTGTAGAAGTGTCTTACACATTCCACAAGCACATAGTAGGTTTATGCATTATAGCAAAATAAAAAACAGCAGGGACTGTAACTCCCCCAGATTGGCAGGCAGAGTTTCTTCACTCCCCCCACTTGCTCAATGACTGCAGTGCATATTTTTGGCAATGTTTGATGGTTCCTTGCTAAAACCATTACAGTGCACTAGTTTTAACCATTTATCTACTTTAACGTGCTGCAGCTCCTTTCTACTTCCCTCTTAACATATAACATCCTGTCTCACAGGAGACCAGACTGTGGTTTCAGAGGCAGGTRTTAGGACACACTAATCCCAGATTTAATGTGTCAGCCTGCCCTCTAGCTCACATCTAAAATGGGATCTCCATTTTAGCACAGTCACAGTTTCAACTACAGCTCTCTCTTCCCCTCCCTTTAAAACAACGCTAACTCCCATCTGCTTGACTGACAGCCAAAATTTTGGAGATGCCCTGCCTTTTTCCTTCTGAGAATGCCTCTTCAGAGATCCATAACAGCATGGAATGCCTCTCCACAGTACCAGCATGATGAACTCGGTACTGAGGGCATGCACTGCACTTGTGCAAGCACAAGAGAGGTGTTGTAGGTGAGGAGGAAAGCAGACCGACAGCAACTCCTTCTGGAGCAACAGTCTGAGGCAGTCATGCCACTGCTGCATTARAGATGAAGGAGTCACGAGGTGGCTGGAACAGAAAGAGGAGAAAGTGGAATAGAGAAGAGGAAGGTGTAGGGGAAGGCTTAAAGACAGTAAAATATGTGCAAGAAGAAGGCAATGAAAGGGCAAATGTTATTATAGCAGAAGCAGAGATGAAAAGAAAGAAAAAAAAAAAAAATTAAGATACAAGTAAACCAGGCAAAGAACAGTGGTAAACCAAATATAAAAACTTTTTTTTTCCAAGAAGCTATGAGGTGCTGACCTTCCAGAACACAGTAGTACAATGTTCACTGCCAGCATCACTCCTACACCACATATCTAAGAAAGGGGAAGAGAGAGCACAAAAGTATGCACACTAGAGCCACATAGTTACAAGAAAGGAAAGGCCTCTTGAAGAGGRTATCTGAGGGCAAATGTGCTCGGGTGTCATTCACAAGCAGCTCCTGTCTAGTCAAGCAAAGAAAAGCTGACACACAGCTCAACTGTCAAGATGCTCAGTTGGTTGGGTTTATTCCTTAAACTAAAGCTCATACTTTAAATTCTTCCCCCCTGTATTTTCTCTCTTTTATGCAGAGGCTGGAGAAGTGACACTTTGAGCACTTCTAATAGATTACTTATWACATCTAGCTAATAAGTTTTAAYAACAGAAGTCACCCRGAATCCATCAACATCTACACAAAACATGTTTTCACTAAGATTCTATGTCCATGCTCTYCTCCCACATTGCTTAAATACAGGCAACTCTCCTTAGCAAACTGGAATATGACATGCTTGTATTTTGGCTGATTAGAGAAGATTTGGCTGATTCTGGAGAATTGTATTGTCAGGATGTGACTGAAGAGAAATGGACAGTGTATGCTGATGTGATATATTTTCAGATTGAGCAYTGAGAAAAATCATCTTTACAAGAAGTCCCAAATTTATCAGTTCTGCACTTCTGTAGAGATTAGTGCCAAACAGTGGTAATAGCATCCTACTGTCAAGTTCATGAAASACTTCTCTGCACAGCCATGCTCGGATACTTTAGGTTTTGTCCTTCGCTTTTCAGGAACAAGCAACATTTTAGGCTTGCTGTTCCTCAAGGTTTTCTCTTCAGTGCACCGTATACCAGCCACACACAGAATTGTTACAGCAAATTTTCACAGAAGGGCTGTCTAGAAGAAAAATGGGCTATGTCTGGTAATAGCATAAAAGAGAAAGACAAAACTTAGGAGCTAAGGTTTGACTTTATTGTTATTGTACTTCACATATTGTTCACCAAATATTTTCACATATGTTTTCAGCAGAAAAATGCTACTGTTATGATCYCAGATAAAATGAATATATAATATTTCAATGAATTTATAATTATATGTGGAATATCAGGCTAATGAACTAGAAGCACCCTCCAGAGACACTGACTTAAACCAATGATAGCATGTAAAAGAAATTACCTTTTTTCAACAAAAAACAGCTACCCTCCCTACCTATTGTAACAAATGATCAATAATCCAAATTTTATAAGGCCCACATAGTGCCAAATGACCCATAATTTGCTTCTAAAATTCTAAGCAGGACTCAAAGCCAAGGTGAGGTAACTTTGTCAGGAGAATAYTGAAGCACTGTCAAACACGCTGGAAATCTGCTGGCCACACCTGAGTGGTATTTCAAAACACTGCACTTAATACAATCCCTAAGAATCAACCCAGCTGAACTTGGAAATGAGGYAGAACAACCTGATTCTACTGTGCAGGCACACAGAACAGGCAGAAGACGAGGTCAAGCACATGTCCAGTGAGTAACAGTTAAATCCCTTCTGCAGCAGATAAATCTCACAAGACATGACAAACTCCCAGGGCTTTCCAGAAACATCTCAGAACAGAAAAGAACTGAACCAAAAGAGTTCAATTATTCTCCCCTGAGTCTCTTCCCTTCATCAAGTTAATTACAGWGAATTTTGGTAAATACGGACACAGGTTCAAACCAGAGGTATTCTCCTGAGCTCTTACATATTWACCCTCCCTAAGACATCCACAAATCCAGTCACACATGTATTACAGCTCTTCCTGTCACCCAGTCCTTGCTAGGTTTGGCTCCAGGAGACTTTACAGAAGCAATATTTAACTGTGCCCCAGATTATGCACAAGGCAGATGTCTCATGGCAAGCATATTCGTGAAATACTTATGAAAGGACTATTAAAAACGACCAGCTCATGCTGGGATMTTGTACTTTTACTTACATGAAGTAAATTCTGTTTGAATGTCTACTTCCCACAGATGCATCAAACTTACACACCTATATTCATGTGTGTCTATAMAGCCATTAAACTCAGCACTCTATTGCACACCACCTGAAATAACAAAACAGTATTTCTGTTTATGGTATTCAGAAAACAATAATGACCTACAGTGCTTCCTCAAAGATGACATTTTAACTTCAACAGCTCCTCCCAGGGCACTGGTAAGATGACAAATATATTTTCCCTTTTATGGAGCATAGAAATATTTCCATACATAGCAACCAGATATCATGTTGTTTAAAATATGTACCTTTGTCATGATAAGGAATTGGGCAGCCATAAGAACTTAAGGTCAGTTTAATTCTCCCCCTGAACA